TTAAATAGCAACGCTCATCTTGCCATATAGGACAAGTGAAATTTGTGTAAGCAATAATTTCGCCAAAATCATTCTGAACCTAACGAAAAAATATGTTTCACTGTGTTTGTTTAGTATTAAATTTCTGTAAACAAATCTAAAATATATTTAGTTGGGTTAGGCTAAAATAAATTGTTCTTGTTATAATAAGGTTAGGTAAGTTTTCTAAGATTCTTTTGGTGCAAAATTAAAATTTTTTACCTGGAGTTTACCTGGAGAGAGTTCCGGGGGTCAACGCCCCCGCGGCCCGGTCTGTAACCAGACCTCCTGGGGGATCAGAGCCTGATCAACCAGGCTGTTACTGTTGGCTGCACGAAAAACCAACGACGAGCCACAGCCCGGCTGGTCAGGAACCGACTTTAGGTGCTTGTCCAGTGCCAGCTTGAAGACTGCCAGGGGTCTGTTGGTAATCCCCCTTATGTATGCTGGGAGGCAGTTGAACAGTCTCGGGCCCCTGACACTTATTGTATGGTCTCTTACGGCTAGTGACACCCCTGCTTTTCATTGGGGGATGTTGCATCTCTGCCAAGCCCTTTTGCTTTCGTAGTGAGTGATTTTCGTGTGAAAGTTGGGTACTAGTCCCTCTAGGATTTTCCAGGTGAATATAATCATCTCTCCCGCTTGCGTCCAGGGAATACGGGTTTTCGGGAACCTCAAGCGCTCCCAGTAATTGAGTGTTTTTTTCTCCGTTATGCGCGTCGTGAAGGTTCTCTGTACTTTTTCCCTAGGTCAGCAATTTCACCTGCCTTGAAAGGTGCTGTTAGTGTGCAGCAATATTCCACCCTAGATAGAACAAGCGTCCTGAAGAGTGTCATCATGGGCTTTGGCATCCCTAGTTTTGAAGGTTCTCATTATCCATCCTGTCATTTTTCTAGCAGATGAATTGATACAGTGTTATGGTCATTAAAGGTGAGATCCTCCGACATGATCACTCCAGGTCTTTGACGTTGGTGTTTCGCTCTATTTTGTGGCCAGAATTTGTTTTGTACTCTGAAGAAGATTTAATTTCCTCGTGTTTGCCATACTGAGAAATTTGAAATTTCTCATCTTAAACTTCATATTGTTTTCTGCAGCCCACTAAAGATTTGGTTGATGTCCGCCTGGAGCCTTTCAGTGTCTGCAATGGAAGACACTGTCATGCAGATTCGGGTGTCATTTGCAAAGGAAGACACGGTGCTGTGGCTGACATCCTTGTCTATGTCAGATATGAGGATGAGGAACAAGATGGGAGCAAGTACTGTGCCTTGTGGAACAGAGCTTTTCACCGTAGCTGCCTCGGACTTTACTCTGTTAACTACTACTCTCTGTGTTCTGTTAGTGAGAAAATTATAGATCCATCGACCGACTTTTCCCGTTATTCCTATAGCATGTTAGGTAAGACACAAATGCAACAGTTAGGTATCTTTATTATGAAACGTTTCGCCTACACAGTAGGCTTCTTCAGTCAAGTACAGAAAAGTTGATAGAAGCAGAAGATACTTGAAGACGATGTAATCAGTCCATCACCCTTAAAGTTTTGAGGAGGTCAGTCCCTCAGTCTGGAGAAGAGCATTGTTCCATTGTATGAAACAATATGGAGATGAAGTGACAAGATGGAGCTTTTATAGCGCCAAGAGGTGAGACGTAGGCCACCAGGAGAGGTAAGAACTCAGATGCTGAGAGGTCAGGTCCCTCTCAAATCCAGCCGCTCTCACTAGTGGAAGTTGTCGAAGTTGATTGCAGGTCTGTACCAAGATACCCTAGTGTTGCAGTGTCTGACAGATTGAACATTAAAATGGTATAAAATACCGACAGGTTGTTAGGTAAGACACAAATGCATTTGTGTCTTACCTAACAACCTGTCGGTATTTTATACCATTTTAATGTTCATTCCTATAGCATGCATTTTGTGCGCTATTACGCCATGGTCACACTTGTCGAAGGCTTTTGCAAAGTCTGTATATATTACATCTGCATTCTTTTTGTCTTCTAGTGCATCTAGGACCTTGTCGTAGTGACCCAGTAGTTGGGACAGACAGGAGCGACCTGTTCTAAACCCATGTTGCCCTGGGTTGTGTAATTGATGGGTTTTTAGATGGGTGGTGATCTTGCTTCTTAGGACCCTTTCAAAGATTTTTATGATATGGAATGTTAGTGCTATCGGTCTGTAGTTCTTTGCTTTTGCTTTACTGCCCCCTTTGTGGAGTGGGGCTGTCTCTGTTGTTTTTAGTAACTGGGGACGAGCCCCGTGTCCATGCTCCCTCTCCATAAGGATGGTAAAGCTCGTGATAGGGGTTTTCTTGCAGTTCTTGATGAACACGGAGTTCCATGAGTCTGGCCCTGGGGCAGAGTGCATGGGCATGCCCAATTTATCGCCTTTTCGAAGTCATTGGCGTCAAGGATAACATCAGATAGCTTGTGTTAACCAAATTTTTTGGGCTCTCTCATAAAAAATTCATTTTGATCTTCGACTCTCAGTCTGGTTAGCGGCTTGCTAAAACTGAGTCATATTGGACTTGAGTAGCTCACTCATTTCCTTGCTGTCATCTGTGTAGGACCCATCTTGTTTAAGTAGGGGCCCAAAACTGGACGTTTTTTCTCGACTTTGATTTGGCATGGAAACGAAATACTTTTGGGGTTTCTTTCGATTTCATTTTATGGCTTTTAGCTCTTCCCGCGATTCCTGACTCCTAAAGATTCCCTTTTGCTTAAGTTCGATGCTTGCTATTCTCTGACCAGTGTCTCCCTACGCCTTTCAGATATATTGACCTCTTTTAGCCGCTCTGTTATTCTTTTCCGTCGCCTGTAAAGGGGGCGCCTTCCCTTTCTATTTTTACCCTTTTACTCCTCCTTTTTCTTAGAGGGAAAAACCTTGTGCATACATCGAGTGCCACCGAGTTAATCTGTTCTAGGCATAAGTTGGGTCTTGTTGCTTATATATCTTCCAGCTTATATCAGTTTAAAATTTGGTTTACTTGGTCCCACTTTAAATTTTTTTGTTATTGAAGTTGAATTTGGGGAATGCTCCCTCGTGACTAATCTCATTATGTCGGTCTGGGGGTCCGCGCATACATGTCTGAACCTCAATTATGTTGTGATCTGAGTATATTGTTTTTGATATGTAAAAATTTCGTATCAGATCATCATTGTTAGTGAAGATGAGGTTTAGTGTATTCTCCAGTCTAGTAGGCTCTATTATTTGCTGGGTTTTAAAAAAGAATTTTGTGCAGAGATTTAAAAACTCGTGTGAGTGTGAGTTTTCATCAGAGCTGCTCCTGGTGTTTATTACTGCAACAATATAATTTGCTAAATTCCTCCATTTTAGGTGCCTTAAGTTGAAATCCCCCCCGGACAAGATGTTGGGTGCAGGAGCTGGAAGATTTTCCAGACAGTGGTCAATTTTTAACAGCTGTTCCTGGAATTGCTGGGATGTTGCATCCGGAGGCTTGTAGACTACCACAATGACTAAGTTTTGGTTCTCGACCTTTACTGCTAAAACTTCCACTACATCATTTGAGGCATTCAGCAGTTCTGTGCACACAAGTGACTCTGCAATATACAGGCCAACCCCCCCCCCCCCCACCTTTTGCCTGTTCACTCTGTCGCATTTTGTATAGGTTGTAACCTGGCATCCATATTTCGTTGTCCAAGTGATCCTTTATGTGGGTCTCAGTGAAAGCCGCGAACATTGCCTTTGCCTCTGCAAGCCGTCCACGGATGAAAGGTATTTACATTAACAATAATGAAAAAAATATATCTTTAAACGTATAAGAGGAAATTTTAGAAAGGACTTAATTTTAAATGAGTTCTTGCTAATTGACCAGTTTTACATATTCGGCACGACAGACACACACACACACACACATATATATATATATATATATATATATATATATATATATAAATATATAAATTTATCTGCCTTTGATTATACACAGACAAATATCTAATGTATATACAGGTGAAATATATATATAGGTGAAATTGCTGACCTAGAAAATGTACAGAGAACCTTCACGGCGCGCATAACGGAGATAAAACGCCTCAATTACTGGGAGCGCTTGAAGTTCCTGAACCTGTACTCTCTGGAACGCAGGCGGGAGAGATACATGATTATATACACCTGGAAAATCCTAGAGGGACTAGTACCGAACTTGCACACGAAAATCACTCACTACGAAAGTAAAAGACTTGGCAGACGATGCAACATCCCTCCAATGAAAAGTAGGGGTGTCACTAGCACATTAAGAGACAATACAATAAGTGTCAGGGGCCCGAGACTGTTCAACGTCTCCCAGCATACAAAGGGGGATCACCAATAGACCCCTGGCAGTCTTCAAGCTGGCACTGGACAAGCTCCTAAAGTCGGTACCTGACCAGCCAGGCTAGATAAGGATAAGATAAGATTTCGTTCGGATTTTTAACCCCGGAGGGTTAGCCACCCAGGATAACCCAAGAAAGTCAGTGCGTCATCGAGGACTGTCTAACTTATTTCCATTGGGGTCCTTAATCTTGTCCCCCAGGATGCGACCCACACCAGTCGACTAACACCCAGGTACCTATTTGCTGCTAGGTGAACAGGACAACAGGTGTAAGGAAACGTGTCGAATGTTTCCACCCGCCGGGAATCGAACCCGGGCCCTCCGTGTGTGAAGCGGGAGCTTTAGCCACCAGGCCACCGGGCTGTGGCTCGTACGTTGGACTGCATGCATCCAGCAGTAGCAGCCTGGTTGATCAGGCTCTGATCCACCAGGAGGCCTGGTCACAGACCGGGCCGCAGGGGCGTTGACCCCCGGAACTCTCTCCAGGTAAACACCATGCATCTCACAATTTTAATCAATTTAATAATTATAATAATAATAACGATAATAACAACACCAATAATAACAAAAAAAGTGGAGGTCGTACACTTGGTCCTCAGTATGAAGGTAGAGAGAAACTAATATTCAGTAAGATAAGTTTAACTTGTGTCACTGTCCCAGGTGCCCAGTGCGGCAGTGACTGGAGTCAACAACCTCACTGATGCTGCTACTCTCTAGGTAAGTTGGCTTCAGTTACCTGTCAAAGACACTTGTCGATAGACATCTCGCCTGTTTTGTGTCAAAGGAGATGTGTGTGTGCTCACCTAGTTGTGGTTGCGGGGGTCGATTCACAGCTCCTTGCCCCACATCTTTACCTGGTGTGTGTGTGTGTACTCACCTAGCTGTACTCACTTAGTTGAGACTGCAGGGGTCGCGTCCTAGTTTCTGGCCCCGCCTCTTCACTCGTCGCTACTAGGTCACTCTCCCTGAACTGTTAGCTTTATCATACCTCTGCTTAAAGCTATGTATGGATCCTGCCTCGACTACATCGCTTCCCAAACTATTCCACTTCCTGACTACTCTGGCTGAAGAAATACTTCCTAACATCCCTGTGATTCATCTGTGTCTTCAACTTCCAACTGTGTCCCCTTGTTGCTGTGTCCCATCTCTGGAACATCCTGTCTTTATCCACCTTGTCAATTCCTCTCAGTATTTTGTATGTCGTTATCATGTCTCCCCTATGGTCTTCGATCGAATGAATTCTTCTCATCAACTTCACGTCATCTGCAAACAGGGACACCTCAGAGTCTATTCCTTCCGTCATGTCGTTCACAAATACCAGAAACAGTACTGGTCCTAGGACTGACCCCTGTGGGACCCTGCTGGTCACAGGTGCCCACTCTGACACCTCGCCACGTACCATGACTCGCTGCTGTCTTCTTGACAAGCATTCCCTGATCCACTGTAGTGCCTTCCCTGTTATCCCTGTTTGGTCCTCCAGTTTTTGCACTAATCTCTTGTGTGGAACTGTGCCAAACGCCTTCTTGCACTCCAAGAAAATGTAATCCACCCACCCCTCTCTCTCTCTCTCACTTGTCTTACTGCTGTCACCATGCCATAGAACTCCAGTAGGTTTGTGACACAGGATTTAACGTCCCTGAAACCATGTTGGCTGCTGTTGAGGAGATCATTCCCTTCTAGGTGTTCCGCCACTCTTCTCCTGATAATCTTCTCCATGACTTTGCATACTATACATGTCAGTGACACTGGTCTGTAGTTTAGTGCTTCATGTCTGTTTCCTTTTTTAAAGATTGGTACTACATTTGCTGTCTTCCATGCCTCAGGCAATCTCGTTGTTTCGATAGATGTATTGAATATTGTTGTTAGGGGTACAATACGCCTCGTTCCTCTCTCAGGACCCATGGGAGATTTATCGGCCCCCCTTGCCTTTGGGTTTTTAGCTAATCAAAACCTCTTCACTTCTTTCCCCGTTTTTTGTACTGTGCCAGCCTTGGGTGTACCCACCTCTCCGTCTTTCTGGGGCCCCCTTTTGTTCCCTGTGAACACTCTTTGAATCTCTTGGAGTTCCTCACATACTTCACGGTCATTTTTTGTTGTCTCTCCCCTCCCTTCCCTACTGATAAACCCGGTCCTTGACTGTTTTTTTTTTCCTGATGTGGCTGTAAACAGCTTTGGGCAGATTTGGGTTTCCTGCATGTCATTTTTTATATTTTTTTGGGGCCTCCCTTTTTATCTGTGCTATTCATTTCTGGGGTTACGACTCCTCTCCTTATTCTCCTGGATCCTTTGCCTTCTATACTTCTTCCATTCCCTAGCACACTTGGTTTTTGCCTCCCTGCACCTTTGGGTGAACCATGGGCTCATCCTGGCTTTTTCATTATTCCTCTTACCCTTGGGTGCAAACCTCTCCTCAGTCTCCTTGCACATTGTTGTTACATATTCCATCATCTCATTAACTGGCTTCCCTGCCAGTTCTCTATCCCACTGAACCCCATTCAGGAAGTTCCTCATTCCCGTGTAGTCCCCTTTCTTGTAGTTTGGCTTCATTCACCCTGGCCTTCCTGCTTCCCCCTTCACTTGTAGCTCTACTGTGTATTCGAAGCTTAAAACCACATGATCGCTGGGTCCAAGGGGTATTTCATATGTGATGTCCTCAATATCTGCTCTAGTCAAGGTGAATACTAGGTCCAGTCTTGCTGGTTCATCCTCTCCTTTCTCTCTTGTGTCCCTTACGTGTTGGTACATTAAGTTTTCCAGTACCACCTCCATCATCTTACCCCTCCATGTATCTTGGCCTCCATGTGTGTGTGCGCACTGTGTGAGTGCAAGCACAAGTACTCGCCTATATGTTGCTCCAGGAGTCGAGTCATAGCTCCTGGCCATGGCTCTTCACTGGTTGCTACTAGGTCCACTCTCTCCCTGCTCCATGAGTTTTATTGTACCTCTTCTTCAAGCTTTGTATGGATCCTGCCTCCACTGATTCACTCTCCAGATTGTTTCACTTCCTGACAACTTTAAGGTTGAAGAAATACTTCCTAACATCCGTATAATGCACTTGAGTTTTTAACTTCCAGTTGTGACCCCTTGTTGCTGTGTCCCATCTCTGAAAGATCCTGTTCCTGCCCACCTTGTTAAATACTCTCAGCATTTTATAAGTCGTTATCATGTCTTCCCTGTCCCTCCTGTCCTCCAGTGTCATCAGGCTGAGTTCCCTTAATCTCTCCCCTTAGCTCTGGGACTAGTCTTGTTGCAAATCTTTGCACTTTCCAATATGGGCCTGACGAACACCGTGTACAGTGTCTTTGCACTTGGTGGGATTAAACTCCAGGAGCTATTTGTTGGACCAGGTTTGCAGCCTGTCCAGATCCATTTTAATCTTACCTGATCGTCGCCCGCTTGAATTCTCCGCATTAGCTTCACATCGTTTGCAAACAGGGACACCTCTTAATCTATCCCTTCATGTCATTCACATATACCAGAAACAGCACAGGCCCTAGAACAGACCTTTGTGGAACCCCACTCGACACTCTGACACTTCATGTACTATCACTCTTTTCCTTCCTATCAGGTATTCCATGATTCTTTGCAGTGCTTTTTCTGCTATTCCTTCCTGCTTCTCTAGCTTTTGTATTAATCTCTTGTGCAGTAATTTGTCGAAAGCCTTCTTACAGTCCAAGAAAATGAAATCTACCCATGCCTCTCTCTCTCTCTCTCTCTCTCTCTCCCATTTTTCTTCTGTTACCTTGTAGGTTTGTGACACAGGATTACCCATCCCTGAAACCGTGCTGGGTGTCATTTATGTGCTCATTCCTTTATAGGTGCTCCTACACTCTTCTGATAATCTTCTCCATGAGTTTACTGAAAATTAGGTCTACATTTGCTGTCTTCCACATCTCAGGTTGTTGTCCTGTTTCGATTGCTCTTAGCGACACACAGCGCCTCTGCTCCCACTTTCAGGACCCATGGAGAGATGTCTGAGCCTACCGCCTTCGAAGTATCTAGTTACACATAGCAGTTTCTTCACCTCTTCAGTTGTGTGTAGGGTCTCCATCACTTGGTGTATCCTACTGCCTCGATTTGCTGGAAGCCTTTCTGACTCCACTGAGAATACCTCCCTAAATCTCATGCTGAACTGTTCGCATACTTCTGGTCATGTCTTACGAGTTCCCCTCGTTCTTTCCTTAACTTGATTATTTGGTCTTAGACTATTGTTTTCCTCCTAATGTGGCTGTATAACATCTTTGGGTCAGATTTGATTTTCGATGCTATGTCAGTCTCATACTGATGTTGGGCCTCCCTCCTTATCCATGCGTATTCATTTCTGGCTCCTTATTACCCGAGTCCTTTGCTCTCTCTACTTTTCCATTCCCTAGTGCACTCGTCTTTGGCCTCCCTACACCTTCAGATGAACCATGGGCTCACTCTGGTCTTTCCCTTTGCCCTTGGGTACGAACTTCTCTGTCTCCCTGCACTTTGTGGCCACGTGTTCCATCATTTCATTTACTGTCTTTCCCTCTAGTTCTCTTCCCCACTGTGCCTTATGCAGGAACTGCCTCATGCCTGTGTAGTCCCCTCTTTTGAAGTTTGGCTTCTCCTGTTGTTTTTGTGCTGCTCCATTCTCCACTGTTAACTCTACAGTGTATCTGAAACTCAGAACCACATGATCAATAGTGCTGAGGGGCTATTTATATGTAATATTCCCAATGTGAGAACTGCTCAAGGTGAATACGAGGTATAGCCTTGCTGGTTCATTCCCTCCTCTCTCTCTCTGGATGTGTCCCTATCATGCTGGTGTAAGAAGTTTTCCACCACTGTCTCAAGGATCTTAACCCTACACATTTCTGGTCCTCCATGTGGCTCTAGGTTTTTCCAGTCAATCTCCTAGGGGTTGAAATCCCCCCATGATGAGTAACTTTGTCTTGTCCATATTGCCCCTTCTGGCCATCTCGGCTAGTGTGTCTACCATCGCTCTGTTGCTCTCGTCATACTCGTCTTAATCTCGTACTATTCAGTCGCAGGCTGTACATCACTGTCACCACCTTGGGACCCCGGTCTGAAGTGTTCCTGCTATGTAGTCATCATCTTCCCCTCTATCCATTCTGGGGGATGGGGACTGTGGGTGTATAATATGGTTTGTTCTCGGTTATTGGGGTTGGCTGGGTTGGGGTGAAAGGGGCTGAGAGGGTTTTGTTGGTGGCTCTGTGAGTGGTTGTGTTTAGTGGTCCTCCCGAGTCTGGGGTTCCTTGCCTCTCAATGCCTTATCTCTCTTTCCTGCTACTTCCGTCTTTATATCCTCTCTCTCAGTTACTCTCGTTCTTTTCATGTTATCTCTCAGTCAAGGGACACCCACTGCAATTTTTTGTGTGTCCTTTAGTTATGCATGATGCTGTGATGAATGGTTTTGAAAACCGACATGTTGAAGAATTGAGACACTTATGCAACATATGGGAATCTTTATTGAAGAAACGTTTCGCCACACAGTGGCTTCATCAGTCCAATACAAAGTAGAAATGGATAAGGAGAGGAGGAGTTTGAGGTAATCAGTCCCTCAACCTGGATTCGATGTGTTCAGTCCATCACTCACGTGACTGCAGTCCATCAACTCACCTGACTGCAGTATATAAGCCACCTCTCTGGCCCTCTGCTGTACTTCCTACAAGAGTGATGGACTGAACACATCGAATCCAGGCTGAGGGACTGATTACCTCAAACTTCTC